GTTGCAAGCCTCGAATCTCGGTGCCAATGACTGGTGTCAGCTTCGTGGCCTTGATCTCTTTGTTGTCCCTCGGAAGGAGATTTAGCTTCTCCTTGTTCGCTACGAGACCGCGGTCGTTGAACTCGAATGGCTGTAGCGGGGGGAAGGATGTCTTTTCGTCGTACACCGGCAAGTATTGGGCGTATTTGTACTAATGTCATTGTCAATCTTGTTACCTTGATACAAATCAAGTGATGTATTAATGGCATACCTGATCGTGGATCTTATCATCGTATGCCAAGGTCAGCTTGACGGGTGCCGTCTCAGCGTGAGTTTCGGTTGTAGTGGTTGTAGACATTATAAGTGATGGTTCTTTTTTCTTTCTTGCTTCTGGGTAATCAAATAGACAAGTTCCATCAAATGTTCAATCCGTCGCGTGTCATGGCTGGTTGATTGGGCCTGCTTTAATATGGTATGAACCGAGTCTGGTATTCTAAGAGTCAATCGCGTCAATCGACGTGATATGGCGATTACTGAAGCCATTCATCCTTTGGCTCGCGCCATTGCGACTTGCATGCGGGAAAAGCAAGATAAAAGCATCACTGTGCAGTAACACCATTTGACTGGACGCGAGATCCGGAGGGGGTTCGGATGTGAAGCTTGCGTTCATCGGCATATTCCAACACCACAGTCATTGGGACCTACACTGCCCAACGAGGACGAATCAAATGGTCTCGCCCTAGCTGTACCGCTGCTATGTATTACTGGCAGTGACACTGGCTTCGTCCTGTTGATCCATCGGCATTAGTCGACGTGGTTTACGTGATTTGTGAAGAGGATGGCATCAAGTCCGATAGTGTCCCGATGCCGAAGATGACGCGGGACCGCTTCGGCGAGAGTGGGGTGCCCGGCACCGGCTCCGGAAAACGTGTGACTATACCGGGAGAGAACCTTAGGCTTCGTATGTCGTCCCAGACAGGAAACAGTCCCTGGAAATGGAATTGGAATCGCCAGCGAATCCTGTCCAGACAAGGCACTCTGAGGAGTCGCAATTCTGGGTCGATCCTACTTTTGGGTTATTGAAGTGCTTAGTTCTTCGACGCCAACACTGTGGCACATTCGGAGTATCGGAAGGCCACAACTTAGTTTCCAATTATTTTCTTTCTTGTGATCTTGTCGCTGGTATATAGTAATGGTTTCCTAGCAACCACCTACAATGTTCGCAATATGATAGAACCATCACTTCCTCGGATGAGAATGGGCAAATCTACGCCGATAATCCCAATTCTTCATAAAATGGCTCCATTCGGACCTCACGACCAAGAAACTCCAACAAGGTCGTCATCTCGGGCTGGCCGCCCCCCTTCTCCAGCACGCCGTACCTATACTTGCGCCCTGCTTCCCCGCTCATGGGGTCCGCCTCGAAAATGGTTGAGAAAATATCCTGCGCGTAGACTTTTGAGCTGTTCGTCGCAAACACAAGTTCGGTTAGTGAAGACTTTCTTTCATGGCCACCTAAGCCAACGGGAGGAAGTCTCCCAAGACCGGGAAAAGAGGGGGAAGAGAAAGTGTAGACTCACAAAAAGTACCCGTAGAACCCGGCATCGTACTCGTCCATCAGGTGTCCGATGTTAGTATACCCGTGTCCCCAGTTGGCATCGTCGCCTGGCAGGAGAGGCGGATCGTCCGTCGGGACGATCTCCCGTCGGAGGCTGTTCCATAGCGTCGTAAAGTCCACGGCGGCTTCTCCCTCGACGGCACCGGCGGCAGCGTTGGCAATTGGATCCTCCTGCGTGATGGTCGACGCGGGCAACTGATGCACAGCCATATCGAAAACGCTAATAAAAAGCTGCTGCAGCGTTCCCAGCCCCTGGCCGACGTGCTTCGCGGCAACGAGGCCCTCAACGACGGACTCTGGGATTCGTTCCGGTGGCTGGGTCGATCCCTCCCCTGCTTCTCCTTGCACTCCCCTGATAACCTGCTTCTCCTGCCAGTCCAGCAGACACTCCTCAGATAGATACGAGTAATGTCGGCCCAGCCCGCGTAGCTGCTCCGCGCTCCAGCACCAATTCTCGAGCATTTGAGACGGCGCCTCGCCGAAGTCGACTACGGTGCCCATGGGCCCGTGGAAGCGCGCGAAGGAGGTGCGGGAGACGAGGTCGTGGATTGCGTGGCCTAGTTCGTGGAAGAGGGTTACGACGTCGGCGTGACGGAGGAGGGTTGGGGAGGATGGAGAGGAGGGAGGGGGGAAGGAGCAGAGGAGGGCTGTAGAGGGGTATGTGCGGGTTTGGTCTGGGTTTGTGAAGCCCTGGGAGATCGTTAGTCTTGGGCAGATGTAGTAGAGAAAGAGAGAGAAATGTGGTGATGATCTCTGTGGGGTGGGGAAAGGAGAGGACTTACGGGTACGAGACTGAAGTTGGCAGGGTTCCCGTATTTCCCATCTCGATGATAGAGGTCAAGGTAGAGATACCCCAGAAACCCGCCCCCTTCATCAGCAGAATCCCACGCGGGGAATAGCCGCACATCTTCATGCCAGACGATATCCTCCCCCTTCCCTGTGCTCGACAAGGCATCCCTCGCCTCTCTGCCAGCAATTTCGAAAAACTCCATCCCAAACAACCTCTTAAAGATACCCAGCATGCCCTCCACAGTTTGCTCTAACGGGAAGTACTCTGAAATACGCTCCTGATCAACTGCATACCCCTCCTTAAGCAACTGATTCGTGTAGTACGCCGTGTCCCACGTATACAATTTCCCATCATAAATCTCGCCCCTCTCCTCCTCGACATCATGCCTCTTGAGCTTCAGGAGGTGTTCCTTTTCCACTTGTCCGCCCTGGACTAACTTCTCTCGGAGAGAGGAGAGGAAGGACGTGACGTGAGCCGGGGACCCAGCCATCTTTTCTTCCGTGCTGAGGGTCGCGTGATCGGGGTACCCCAGCAAACGGGCAGCCTCGTGGCGTAGGAGGACGACGCGCCGGAAGATGGCGATGTTTTCGCGGCAGCGGGTGTCGTATGCCAACCGGGCGCGGCGGCGTGTGTTGGGCCGGTGGGCGGTGCGGAGGAGGTGAGAGAGGTGAAGGGGGATTTTGATCCGGAGTTTCCCTGCCGTCTCGGGGCTTTCGTCGTCCCCTTCTTCGAGACGCGCGAGCGCGTCGGGCGGAAAGCCGTCTAGTTCCTTCGGGGTGAACCATACCGAGACATCCGCCTCGGCAAGGTTCTTTGCGAATTCAGCCGTGAGGGACACGATTTCGGCGCGGATTGTGCGGAAGCGGTCCCGTTCTGATCCAGCGGGGATACGCAGGCCGTTCTTGACGAATTCGCCATGTTTCTTGTGGAGATAGTTCCTGGCTTCCGGGTTTAGGTAGCGCGTTTCCGCGGCATCGTTGTAGACTGCGTCGACGAGCTTGAAGAGCGCTTCGTTGTTGGCGCCTTCGAGTTCTGCGTCGCGGAGGAGGGACCGAGCTTGAGAGGAGGCGGAGCGGGTCTCTTGGTCTGGGGAGACTGCGTTGTGGAAGAGGAGGAGGGAGGATGCGGAGTAGAGGGCGTTTTCGGCGTGAGCTAGCGGGAGGAGGGTGTTTGCGTAGGTTGCGTCGCGGGTTGAGATTGTTGATGGGATGGAGGATTGGGCTGCGCGGTGGGTTGAGATGAGGGTGGTGATTGTGGTTAGGATTTGGGAGGGGGAGGTTGTGAAGATGGGGGGTGGTTGTGGGGGGTTGCGGGGAGGGGAGGGGGCCATGGTGGTGATGAAGTGAGATGGGAGCAGGGTTGAATTGGGAAGTGGAGGTCGAGGGAGTTGCTGAAGCTTGAGGTGTAGGAATTTGATGCCAAGAGCGGGATATCGTGATCTTTTGAGTCTGTGGCGTTTAGGCAGCGGTTTGCTGGTTTGGCGGGGAATCACTCACTCGTTGGTTTCAACTTTTGCGATCTTGTTGGTGCAGGGATGATATGCGAGGGGTAGGCGGGTCGTTTGCCGGTTAGCTATCTTCAGCGATGGGACTGTTGGATTCAAGAGAGATCTGACAGAGAAAGTGTTCGTGGATGCCTTCGGCAGACCACCGGTGCCGTTGTGATGTTTACCAGAGATTGGACGAATTTGCAGTGGAATGCAAATTCCAAACACCACAAAGCGCTAGGCATCCAGTATTATCAAGGTAGTGACACAATCAGAATCTCGTAGGCAGCACTTTAAAGATAGCGCCCGAGTTAACGGACCCCTTTGCATGCAGGACTAAGGTGCCTCATGTTGGACTAATCTGCACGCAGTCAGATCCGGGAAAGGCCCGGATGGTGCCCCCGCCCGTTTTCGGCTTGATTGGCCGATGGGCTGTGCCGAGATCCGGCCGGCCGGGGCGGGGAACGGGGCGGGGGGAAAAGCCGGGGCTCAAGGGGTCGGACGAAGGAGACCGTCTCGGCTGTTCGCTTTGAGGACAATGACTATCTTCGAAGGATCAATTGATTTACCCCACTAGAAACGAGTTTTCTTCCGTGAGGCAATCTGGAATTGAGGGTCCACGCTGTTGTCTGAGTAGTCCAGCTTGTAGTTTGCAAATGACCTTAGCTATAATGGCATACTGAGATCGTACTTAGATGCAGTCCATGGCCTCCATTTGAAAGTATCAAGGCACTGACAACGTGAATACCTATCATCTGGAAGTAAATGCCACCCTGCCTCTAGGAAGATTAGGCAGACGTTGGACGGTCAAGTGCAATCCCCAACCAAAGCGCGCCAGCTTTCATTTCCCCAACAATGTCAGCATCCTCCGCCAAGGATTATAGTGTCTTGGGCCATCCAACTCGCCTTTATTCATCACTTGAGGCTTCTCAATTGGATTCTTACTGACTAATTGCGCCGGTCGGGCTGATGTTCCGGCCACCGACTTTATTTGACATCCTCACGCCACTCCTTCGAACCTACAAACGCAATCGTTGATTCATCTCGTAGAACATAGCATCCACAGAAGATTGACTTTGTTTTTTCCTCCCTCATAACACAATTCCTTAGATTATAGCAGCGCCAACATGGCCAGCATATCTTCGGGCCTCGCAGTTGTCTATCCTGTGGATGAGGGAAGCGGCAAGCTCGGAAGCGCAACACCGTCGCGACGGGGCCCTTCCAACGAGAATCACCATCAAATCCCCTCACCACCGCAATTCCAGGAGCCCACCATCTCTACCAACCGCACTCCATCAGTCCAAGATGAGCATCTCAGCAATGCCCCCGATCCCGATCCGCCTCTCCCCTCCAACCCCGCCACCGCCATCCCAAAGCTCTCAGGAACAAGCATAACCCTCACAATGACATCCCTCTGCCTCTCAGCAACCCTCTCCGCCCTCGACATGACAATCGTCACCACCGCCGTCCCCAACATCGTCGCCTCCCTCGACTCCGTTGACGGTTACATCTGGGTCGGCTCCGCATTCATCCTCGGCTTCACGGCCGTCACACCCGTCTGGGGCTCCGTCGCAGACCTCTGGGGCCGGAAACCTATTATACTGCTCGCCCTGACCATCTTCCTGGCGGGGAGCCTGCTGTGCGCGCTGGCGCCGCACATGGATGCGCTGATTGCGGGGCGCGCGGTGCAGGGTGTCGGTGCGTCGGGGATGGGGGTGATGGTGAATACCATCATCTGCGACTTATTCTCGTTGAGGGATCGAGGGTTGTATCTTGCTATTACGTCTGTTATTTGGGCTGTAGGGAGTGCGGTTGGGCCGGTCCTTGGGGGTGTGTTTACTACGCGATTGGAGTAAGTACTCCCTCGGTAAGATATGATTATTGACTTCGACTGACCCATCTACTCCTCTTGTTAGCTGGCGATGGTGTTTCTGGATTAATCGTAAGTAGCCCCACGTGAACTAGAACACCCAACGGAAAACTGACCATGTTCAAGTGCCAATTGGTGGCGTTGTCTTCATAGTCCTCGTCTTCTTTCTGGACCTCCCTTCACCCAACACACCAGTATTGGCAGGCCTCAAAGCCATAGACTGGACGGGAAGCGCCCTCTGTATGGGCGGAGCTCTCATGGTTCTCCTTGCCCTCGACTTCGGCGACGTCGTACACCCATGGTCCTCCGCCACCGTAATCTGCCTCATCGTCTTCGGCACCGTCGTCATTGGCATATTCCTCGTGAACGAGTGGAAATTTGCCGCTAACCCTGTTCTACCCCTTCGACTTCTCTCAAGCTGGTCGAAAGCGGCAGCGTACAGCGTCTTCGCCTTCAACGCGTACGTCTTTATCGGTATCACGTACTACCTGCCGCTTTACTCCCAAGCCGTGCTGGGCGCGAATGCGTTGACGTCGGGGTTGTATATGCTACCGCTGATCGTCTCTTGCTCGTTGTCTGCAGCGTTTGCTGGGGTTTTCATCCAGCGGACGGGTCGGTATCGAGTGCTCATGTACGCGGCGCAGGTGCTGCTGATTCTCGGCACAGGTCTACTCATCAACCTCGAGTTCGACAAGAACCTGGCGAAGCTGTTCACTTTCCAGATCCTCACCGGCGTCGGCGTGGGGCTGAACATTGAAGCGCCGGTGCTGGCGGCGCAGGCTGCGACTACGGTGCGTGATACGGCTGCTGTGGTGGCTACAATGGGTTTCCTCAGGTCTATTGCGACGGCCATTTCTGTGGTTGTTGGTGGGGTTGTCTTCCAGAACCAGATGAAAGCTGAGAACCTGTATTTGGTCGAGATGATCGGTGGCGAGCTCGCTGGTCAGTTTGATGGAGAGAATGCGTCAGCTCATGTTGAGGGCATCGCTCTGCTTGCGGCTGAGCAGCAGGTTCCTGTGCGCCAAGCGTATTTCAGAGCGCTCAAGACAGTCTGGATCATGGTAAGTAAGATCTCAACGTCGAAAAATTGCTATGTGAAATATCCTTGAGGAACCACCGTTCAGTTTGCGTACATTTGCTAATAAAAACACCCAGTACGTCGCATTTTCGGGCCTGGCGTTGGTGCTCAACCTCTTCGTATCAGAGCACCATCTGAGCGATGAGAGAAAGGCGGCTGTTCTCGGCGTCGATAGAGGAACCCCGGGCTTATTAGATCAACCAGCCCAAGTAGAGGAGATACCGCTCGAGACGACTGGCAGACAGCAAGACACTGTCCATCAACGCAGAAATCGGGCCACATGAGAAGGAAGTAGAATTCGCGCTCCTCGAGGGGAGTCATTAAAGCAATTATATTTACAGGTGCCAGCCCTGAAAACGCCTCATAGCGTGTGGACTCTATGCCCTGCGCTGTCCTTGAACCCTGGACATGATTTTGATACAAAGAAAACTTGTCGAGCTGTGACCATAACCCCGTTCTAACCTCCCAATTCCCCGCTTTCCTCACACTGAAGGCCGTTATGATGTACAAACTGTTATATGAAATATATGGCGGTTGTAATTTTCTTCACGCAGAAGCCATCGATCAACTTTTCAGGAAGCTCCGACTGTAGGAATGCCAGGCATCAAGACTTCCCCGCTAACGAAGACTCTATAAGCTGTCTCTCCGCCAAACCCCTCTCCCAGAACTCGGAACCCTCGGTCAAATTTCGCCGCAGGGTCTTAGCGCTGAGATGCTTCGTGAAGCGGTCCACGGCCAGAATTACTAAGAGGAGAGCCGCCACGGTAGGCAGCGTTGCGCCGCTCCTGAGGTAGGCGAAGATGAACTTCTCGGACCCGGCGCCCGAGGCGATGCCGACGGCGAAGAGGGCGGCGACACCGCGCGTCGCGACGGCGGCTTTGTCAAAGATGTTGAGCGGGCGGTCTTTGTGTCTGGTGATGAGGATGAAGACGGCGAAGAAGGCGACGACGAAGAGGAACGAGGACCAGTAGTAGATGTAGACGGTCGAGTAGGCCGGGTGCGCAATCTCGCCGGGGTCCTCGTCGCCGTCTGATGTGACGCCGTTGTAGGACTCGAATAAGACGCCGAGGACGCTCTTGGTGAGGCGTTCGAAGCCGGGGGGCACGAAGAGCGAGTCTGTGCCGGTGATGTTGGCCGGCGCGCAAATGTCGGTCGTGTTACCGATTTTGTAGATTTCTTGGTAGACAAAGGGGATGAGGTTGCGGATTTCGGCGCTGTTTGGCATGTTGAGCTTCTCAAATGCCGTGGCGATGGAAGTTGTGAGGGCTTGCCCGTCTTGGTGCTCGTTTACGCAGGCGTTGCGGACGGAGGAGAAGAAGTCGCTGAAGTAGCTGAGGACCTGCCAGGCGAGGGCGATTTGTTGGGAGCCTTCGACGACGCCGATCATGCCGAGGTGGAAGGGGAAGTGGAGGACGGCCCAGATTTGTTGGCGGACGGTGCCGAATTTGCATTCGGGGGGGTTGTCGAAGTAGAGCATCCAGTTGAACATCTAGGGATGGTTGAGTCAGTTGATCTATGGTTGGAGCATGGTATGGACGAGTGACATACCAGAATAAAAACGATGCAACCGACGACAAGGCATGCATCGAGCCGGAGGCCGGTGTCACCCATCAGGACGCCGACGACCTTTGTGGCACCAATGGCACCTTCACCAATGATGACCAGGGTGAAGAGGCCCATTCTCTCCGTCAAGTGGGTGTGCTTGAAGCTGAGGTTCCTCCAGATTGACGAGAGGCCGAGGGTGATGGCGACCTCGATCACGAGGATGATGTACCATACGTAGTAGATACCCAGGCCGTTGCCGGACTCGGGAGAGAAGGCTGGCGTCATGGAGTAGAAGGCCCCACCGGAGAAGATGAAGAGGACAATGGTGAGAGACAGCGGCCAGTTCAAGGCCTTTGTCTTCTTGCGGACAAAGTGGAGGGCGACGGAGTACTGGGCTACGAGCAGCAGGCGGGTAGCGAAGAGAATGTTACACAGGAGTTGGAAGTTCTACATTGCATCGCTGTCAGTGAAGGTACTGTATCAAGATTTCCGAGGCTTCCGTCGCCATTGTCATGATCGAGATACAGCAAAAGTTGAAAGTAGGCATACCGCATTATTGTGCTCTTTCGTACCAGGACTGAATGATGACCCAACGAGAGCGAACCCGACAAATAGGCAGAACTGCAGGATCTTGCACATTCGCTCGTACCCCGAGTCGATGGAGAAGCGAACATCGTGCAACGTGATCTGGAACCAAGTGAACCAGATGATGGCGAAGAAACCGAGATAGGCTGCTAAACTGGACAAGTCGGTGATGCTGTGCGTCTGCGTAAACGTCTCGAGGTTGGCGACAAAGAAGAGGTCGGAGAAAAGTTCAATGGTGTTTGCATTGTGCCGGACAAAGAGGCGGATCTCGCCCGTGTCTTCATCGGCCGAGGAGACGGGCGACTCGATCCAGGTGAGAGGCGCGATTTTCTCTTCTTGGAGGTAGTCCAGGCCCCTGGACACAGGAAGGATTTTCGTTAGTTTGCTGCATGATGCGGGATGGGGGTTATCGAGATTTGGGTTGTTGGTTTTGGCCGCCCTGTCATTCTCGCTTCCCACTTTCTTTTCGGTAGAAAGCAATAGGTGAGAGGGCGCGTATTGAATACGACGTATATCGACTTACCAACTTATTGATGAGCTGTCAGAGTCGACCCGACGGACCTGACTGCTCGGGAGCTTCGCCATTGTGTGGGCGGCGAACAATGATGGCGTAGGACGCCTTGTGAAGGTGTATTTGGATCGCCTTGGACGCCTTCTTTCTCTCTCTTCCGAGTCCGAGGGGTGGAATAGATGTTGGATTGATGTGTAAGAATGCGAAAGGGAGGGGAGGGGAACAAAGAGTGGTTAACATGGTCTGGAATCACCGGAGAAGAAGGGGCCCGAGGGGGTGGAGGGGGGTCGCCAACGGCCAACCGGCATTGGCAGCACGTCAATCAAGCCTTCAGCCCTGTGGACTTTGTGGTTCCGTTTGTCGTTCCCCGAAGATCCGATCCATATTTTTTGGAACTGTTTAATCATGAATGGTTCTGTCCGTGGTGGAGATCTTGCACCGATACGTGTATCACAGCCCCAGGTCATACACGTATTGGGGATGACCAAGCCGCACTAGCGAGTCATCTTCAGTGACAATTGCCGTTTCTCGAAGGGAAACGATTAGATATTGGCTGTGTTTGGTATTTTAAGGTTCTGTCCTTACTTAGCGGTATCCACAAGTGCTGCAAGCTTCGCTCTCGGTCTCGGTCTCGCCCCATTCAGGGGTCGTTGGAGCAAGCTTCGAGTGCCACAGAGGGGAAGGCTTGGTATAATACTAGGTGCTCCTTCTCAAATTCTCAGCGTTGGAGCGCATAGACTTTGGCCCCCAGATTGTCGACAACGACTAGGGACGGATACGAAATCGACGAACCAACTTTGGGATGACATCACGGCGAATGATTACCAAAAACGGATTCTTGTACATGACCAACACGAAGAGCGAGAAGCCGGCGTGAGGGATGAAGGTATTGCCTCACTTATGATGCCCCTCTTAGGGCACTGCCATAAGTTGGATCCGCATGCAAGAGACTGGCTTGGCGGATAGTAGGGCGAGGAGCGACAAGACATATTCATTGAAACCTCTCTGAGTGTTCTTCAACCCTCCTTTCTTCTCGTAGTTTGAGTCGGGTTGAAGATGGAGCTCAACTTTCTTTCTTTTGACCGAAGGTCGTCGAAGGTAGCGCGACTCGCATGACCTGCTACCCTGGGCTAGCTATCCGGACCAAGTTACAGTGATGCCGGCTTTGGTTCGGCTTCTCCGCCTTCCTTTGGCCCACGCAAGAAAACGAAGCCTGCGTCACCCTCCACTCCGATTGTAAAATGCTCTGTTTTGTCGGCTTGCCTCTCAAACCAACCAAAGCGGAACCGCAAATGCTCAAGTTGTTCGAGTAGCTCATCTTGTGGAAGAGCTTGAGACGGCATGTGTTGTATGGCGTTCGAGGAGTGTAGGAGAGTGACTAGCCGTGAAATGCTGTTAAATCCGTCCGGGGCCAGCCCCTCCACATCCATGTTGGGCAGTTCCGTTTTCCAGCCAAGGCGAATCTTGATAGCTTTGGGTACCAACATGAGCAAATGAACTATGATGACCAGGCATAGAATCACTAATATTAAGTAGGTTGCGACTGGATTCTGGAACAGGCGCCGTCTACTGTGATCGATGAGCTTCGCTTTGATGAGTGGAAGACCTTCGGGAGGAAGGATGACAGAGATGGCCGACTCATTGAGACTAAGACGATTCTTCTTGTTGGCAATCTGGGCGTGTAGAAAAGCCCAGTTATGGGTGATGACCGTTTTGACGTTATTTTCCTGGGACGGATCGCCTAAGGCTTCAAGCTCTAAAGGACCATACGGCTTCAACACAAGCATCATCTCCTTGTCCATGTCGAAACTCCGGTCTCTATCTTCGCTTGAATCAGGCCAAATGGATTGGTCGGCATAGTAATTAGCAAAGCTGAACTGCGGGTTCCATGGTTCTGTAGACCCCTGAACTGGACGAGGAGGGCGCTTTTGGTCGATCACCAACTCGCTGTTCACGACAGACATGTTGACGTTCATCATTGTTTTTTTCCAAGAATAGTCGCAGTGCCAGGCTCGGACGAAAGTCACCTCCTCGGACCCCACCTTCCAATTGCCCCAAAGATAAAGTCGCGTGGTTGTTCCAGAGATCTTATTTCCCAAGGCGAAGAATCTCTGTGTAGCTATACTCTTGTTGTTCCCGAATAAAACTGTTTCATTGAACTTGATTACAGTTCCGTTCGGGATGGTGACGTCGAAATATATGTCTGCATCATAATCGGTCAAAGAGCCCGTTTCCTTAGAAATTTCCCTTCTTGCGACCTTGAAGCCCCCAGTCTCGTCTGCGACCCTGGTACAATGCGGTTCTAGACTTGCTGCCGCCATTTCAACCTCGAGGCTGACGTTGCGGCTGGGAATAGGTGGTAATGTGATATCGGGAAAGATAAGGTTATCGTAAGTGCCCTTGGGATATGGCAGATCCCCCTCTCCTTTCCCAATGATAAGACGACAGACATTGCTGTCATACTTCGAGAGTCCCTGTATCATGGTCTTGTCGGCAAACCAACTGTTCTGTTGCAAGTGCACATCTTGTGGCACTAGGTTCCATTCCACTGTGAATAGAATAGATGCGATGGCTGTTAGGAAGGCACAGAACAGAGCTAAGGTTTGTGATGTTAAGATTGACCAGGCTCTCGTCTGTAAAGCAGTGATCAGAACCCGAGGACTGGACATGTCCAGCATGGAGAAATGAAGCTGTTGTACCGACGATGACTTATTCGAAAGGAAGTGCAAAGTCCAAAGATTTCTTGACGCAGTGTCGGACGAGCTAGTATATAAAGAAATGCCGAGCATCGTCAAGACTGGGAGAGAAGTCCATAGCAGGTACCAGTAGCCCCCTGGTGAGCCTATTCCAGCTTGGGTCTGAGATGTGACGAAAGTGGCCACGATCCCCGCCGAGACCCCTATACTCGTAACCGTGAAGACGATTCGTATCCATGGCCTCATGACGTAAGGTACAGAACTGTCTCTAGGCCAAGACTCTAGGCGACCTTCGTCTTGGAGGTCAAGGATTCGACTGGTGACAGTGGGATGGTCATGTAAGAAGACTAGGCTGCCTATTGGTGTGGCTGGATCCATGTGCAAAGGCTTCGAATCTCTTTCATAGCGTACAATGATGTGAGCCGAAATCAATACTGTGAGGCCAAAGATGCCAAGCATGGAGATGGCTGTTGGGAAGTGGATGATGATTCGTTTAGATTTGTGCTTGATCTCGAGATCAGTCTTCGTATCGTGGTCTTGTCTCATGCGATAATGTCCGAATAGAATCCCAAGATGACTGGCAAGCCCAGTCACTGATTCGTAAAGCACCTCAGTTGTGTTCAAGAGACCCGGCTCGCTGTCGACCGATCTCAGTCCACTGTTAAAATGTTGCCAATACCAAACGGGGTTGGTGAAGTCCTCCATACCAGCGAAATTCGTATCCGGACGCCAATTCATGTCGTATTCTGATGTAGGAAAGGTTTTGACAATCATTGCCCAGATGTCCACGTCAAGCTTTTGCTGAGAAATGTTCTTCGTCTCCTTCAAGATGGGGTTAGTCCCATTGTCGCTAATCTCTGCTTTCGAAAGTCGAACATCGGACCCGCATATTACCGCAGACACCTGGCGAGGAAAAACAGTGTGAGAACCTGCCATCGGCAAGTGATTGAAGCTTGCGATCAAATAAATAAACTGGCGGGCTTGAGGTATGTTTGAGCAACGTTGTTCTGCGCTGAGGGTGTCGTTATAAATCCAGTACGCCAGGTCCCGTGAGGTCATTTCCCCTACATGGAAGACGTGAAAGGGTAATGTGCGACAACCCTCAAATTGCAAGTCGAGGACAAACTCCACATCATTGGAGTCCTGATTGATACGATCCACAGTCTTGAACTTCTCAAGTTTGAGACACTGAAAATCCATGAAGAGAGCCTCGACAGTCGCTGTGAAAATGGACTTTTCGCTGCCTCTCTTAGTGAATCGTTGGTAGGCAGCTTCCTTCGTTGCTCCGAAAGGATAAGAGACATTGAAGTTACGGATGTTTAGAGCAACATACCACGCAGTGTTTGTAACTTCAAAATTGACAGTGTAGTTTTGGGGCAAGGAGAAAACATCTGTGAGCAGGAGAGTGCTGTTTGTGCCAACTTCGACATCGGCCGTCCGAAACAGGCCAGGAGACAAAACAATTTGGATTTTGAACAGCAACGATACCGTCGCAACCAAGAAGAGAAAGTGGTGTTTATGCTTCAGCGAGCGGAATAGGAGAGTGGGGAAGATCATTGAGGTATAGTCCAGGTCGCATTCTACTTTGTTGGGTACTTTACTCTGATATAAAGCATACCAGGGCACATATCGACATGCTTGAAGCTCAACACGAGCCCAAAAAGCAGCGGCAAGTGTGAGAACTATAAGTCTTGTCAGAACGATGGTCTCTCAACCCAGTGATACTACGCCTCGTCGACTGAGATGGGGAGTACATACTGGCAGTGAGTGCGAAGCGACATATAACTTCCACTCCCTTCATCCGAGCCTCGAACATGCCGCCGTGGGCCTGGGAGTACCAAGTTATGATGCTTAGGACAATGGCGAACGACAGGAACACGGCAGAGAAGTTGGAGAGAACGATAAGGCGAAGCCACCACGGGCGCCAGGTGGAGACTCGATCGCCGTCAGTCAATTCTGCCATCCAAGCCTCGTCCTGTACGGGAGTGCTGTCGGCGCCAGAAGAGTTATCCTGTGACTCCGTATCTTGCGTAGATAAGAGCTGAGATGTCGGTGTATGAAGGAGATCAATGTCGTTCCGGATGTCGCCCGTTGATCTTCGACGAAGTGGGCGTTGACGAGAAGTTTCGAGATCTTGAAGAAGTCGATCTCCAGTGCTGAGATGATTCATCCTGTCCATTGTGTTTTGATCAAAATTCGGCGCTGAGGGCTGAAATGGAAAAGTCGAGAAACTCAAGGACAGTCAAGTCAGATGAAGTATGAAGGAAATCGTACGTTGGGGCATGGGTAATATCGGAATGATCAGGCTATTAGATCTTGGTACTGAGAGATTCGTGTAATCAATCCGAACAAGAGCAATTCGTTTGTCGTATGGTCATAGCCTCTTCTTACATACACAGGTCCAATACATGAGGCGAACGACAGTAATGGGCTTTACGATGTCCCTTCGACTAATGAATTTTTATCATTTGACTAGGAAACGTTTGACAGACACTCGTTATTCTTCACAGCTGCTTGTGCAGCGTAATCTGGCCTGATGGTGCTGCCCGGTGCTGCAACATGCCGAAGACACCGCAAGAGGGTTGGGTCAGATTTGGCGAACGTACATCCTGAGCCTCCAAAAATGCACTCTGCAGCTTAACGTTTCGCGTTTCACTGCAGAAATCTACTCACACATGGTAGGACTTACTAAGCCGCCTCATATTGCCTCGTCAGTCAGATCACACGACTCAAGTGAAGCGGATGCCAGTGTCACCAACCACCAACAACAGACGTAGTATTTCTGATGATCCAAGTTCTGAGCCACCTCAACCTCTCCTGAAAGATGCCAATTGTAAGAGATACAGGATCATGTGAGACATTGTCAGATTGCGTCAGATGTCCCCATCCTCAAGTGCCACGACCTGCACTGACGACAATATGTCGCTTTGCGGCTCTGCCGATAGTGACAAGGATTACCACCTGTAAACAACTTAGGTGCAGTCCGAACGAGATTGATTCTCGACTCCCCGTTACTGAGAAGTATCGGAATGCCTATGCCGTGATCTGGCATCGACCATTAATACCTAGTTACCAAAGGTCCATGGTGCTGGCGTCCAGCAAACCTACTGAGCTGCACATACAGTTGGCGACCTTGATCAATGAGTTGACGGCATTAGACCCGTCCTGCCCCCCTCACTCCCCATCATCCTTGTTTCGATTCCTCTAGATTTTTCAGCCATACAACGGTATGATTCACGGAATACCTTAGCCTGAAAGAATCAACTGGGCCCTTCGATAGGCTCCGTTTTCCCCATTTGCCAGTTGCGCTATGTTTTTTATGAAGGAGAGATTTGACAAATAAGTCCGAACCCGGTCTACTAAGGTCTATTGTTTATAGTAGATATTAAAACAATGGCCGTAGCTTTGCCGGCGTCTTTAAGAGTAGGGTGTGCTTGTTTAAGTTCGATACTAATACTTCCCATGAATGCTGTGATCAGTCTCTGGGTTAGATTGGAAAACGTGGAAAAGTAAGTCTGACCTGGATATGCAGGAAATTTTGTAGAAGTTTTGATTTCCTCTTGCTACAGTCTGAATTCATGAAAGAACATTGAAGGTAAGCCAGGCTTCTAATCATTATATCACTGGCAACGGCCTTGCAAGTCCGACCCCCTGATCCGGCTCACAGTCTTGCGCTGGTAAAACGGTAAATGAAGTATTAAATCTGGTGGCATACTAGCCACACCTCGGCAGGCTGTTGTGTAGCGACAAATATTGCCGTCATATTCAAAGTTTTCAGTCACTGAGATCCTTGGCAACCACTGGCGAAACGGACTCTTGGAAGTCTATGCTATTGGCTTGAATGAGTAGCCATCATCTTGAGGTGCAAGTGCCGCATTACACGTGGACATTCTGAGATATTCGTCCTCAAAGAGTGTTATACTGTGAAAACCACTCTATAAGTCTGGTGTGATGTTGTGTGAGGGATAGAAGGACGCTCCTTTGTTCAGGGGCAGGGGTCGGGGTCTTGGTTACACGGCTTCTCTGCGGCGGTAGACTCGCAGCAGCAGCTTGACTGAACAGATCGCTTCGGATTCTTTGTCAAGAATCTCGTTATATAATGTGAACCAAATCCTGGGTTTCTTTTCCCCTCCAGTCGTCCATCAGCACAATATCGCGATCTCTATCGACGGACTACCTCAATCTCAGTTTACGTTGTCTGCTGTCAATATCTAGGGCCATCCGTGACAACAACTTTCAACTAATCGAGCATGGAATCATTCACAACGCTTACTACTGGTTCTCAAACGAGCAGCAAGGTCAATCTCATTGAATTTTATGATAGAAATGCTATCGATGTCGATGTCAATGCTGATGCCTCTCTTAACCCTGTTCAACAGCATGTCGACCTCCAGCTCCATCTAACAAACCAGAAGCTGCCAGCTCGCCAGGATTGCAAATTTCCCACAGATGAAGTGATTGAGGATGGTACGTTATACATCTGACTGACATTACGTGTCTCGGGTCCCGCTTGCTCATTCGGAGATTGTGGCCATTTCAGCTCTGCCAAAGGGATTCTCGCTTGGCTCTGCTGAGATGTTTGGTTACAGTGCGTGGACCACTACGGGCAAGCTTGTCGCCCATTCGTCGGACTCGGAGGAATCGTTTTTCGTCAAGATTGCGCAAGGAGAAATCGGCAGAGTCATGCTTCTCGGCGAGTTCGAGTCATCCAAAATCATCTATAAACTGATGCCAGACTTCATCCCGGAGCCTATTGGGCATAAAAAGTATAAGCACGCAGACAAGCCCACGTACTTCTACATGTCCAGATTTATTGATTTCGACACCACAACGGCACAAGATCCTTCTGAGTTCTGCCAGCGCTTGGCCGAAATGCACCAGAAGAGTCAGACTCTTTCGGACAAGTTTGGTTTCGGCGTCACGACATGTGATGGCGATCGTCCGCATGCTGTAAAATGGGAGTCAGATTGGGCCGTGTTCTATCGGAAACTTTTCCTTCACACGCTTAGCTTGGACATCAAGAAGAATGGCACTTGGCCTGAGTATGAGCGTGCGGCGGACCAAGTAGCCGAGTATGTGATCCCACGACTGCTGGGAAAACTCACATGGAACGGACAACCGATCAAGCCCAGTCTGATTCATGGCGACCTGTGGGCGGGTAACACGGGTATCAACAAAGACACGAACCTGCCGATGTTGTTTGATGCCGGTTCGTACTTTGCCCACAACGAGATGGAGCTGGGGCACTGGGCTTGCGAGTTCTCGGCAATCTTTGGAAAGAAAGTGTATACGGACCAGTACCTTGAATTCTTTCCCAAGGCGGAGCCCGCTAGCGAGTTTGAGGATCGGATTCGGCTTTACAGCCTGAAAGGGGGTATGAACTACTCCGCTGGCCATGATGACAGCCGACTGAGGATTTCGTAAGTGCTGTTGCCTGTAGCATCATATATGGGGTCTTGGAGGATTTTCTGACGAATTGCAGAGCTTACAATAGCATGCTCTACCTCTGCGAGAAGTATGCCCCAGTCGACGGCATCGGTACTTACGATGAACGAATCGACCCGATGAAGACAGGTGCTAGGATTGTATCCCATGAAGAGATTAGATGAATTGATGGATCAGACTTCCAAGCCCCCTCACAGATATCGCAAGTTCAATATCGCAAAAGGCTCTTTTCCCATTTCGAGTTCAGTAATAGGTGTGGTTTACAGGAATGGATCCAATGATTCCACTTGATCGTGTTTACAAGAGTCTGAAGTATGAAGCTCTTGACTTTTTCAAATTCCTTGTGTATATGTGCTCAGAATACTCTCCCAGTCCTTATCACTCCATATCTGTTGATCCGCGCCTCCGTCCGAAAACATGAAATCCGAGAAACTCAGATCAGTCTCCATTTCCACATTGCCATCAGCCTCCTCGACACTAGATTGCCGCGGTGTTGTCTTTTCCTCTCTTGAGATTCTCTTCACCATTGCCTCAACATCTGAGAGCAAGACATCGTGATCCTTGGCCGCAGGGTTGCCGACGCGAGCCATTTCTCTGAGCAGTGCTCGTGTCCGAGTGTAGAGTGCTACATCGTCTTCGCTGTTTGGGTTGAAATCTTTACCTTCCTCGATGGAGACTCGGGCGAGTGCGAGGATTGCAAGACCGGAGAATAAGTGTAGAGATTCCCAGTATCCGAATTTCGCTGGGCAGACAATTGTCAGCTCCTTCCTTCTAATTCAGGGGCATCACAGTGATGCAAATGCTTACCAATCTTATCGTAATTCCAGAGCCCGAGGAGGATCTTGCAATTGTTTTGTGCGGCTTGAAGACACTGTATCTTGACAGCTCTCATCGGATCATCGTTGTCTAATGGTGTGTCGGACCCGGTGAAACTCGGCGGGTTGTTCAATCGCCGCTTTTGAACGATTGAGGAAAGCTTTTGAAGGTAGAGTGGCCTCAACAATAAGATGAAGCACTGGATTATTGTTAGAAAACAAGTCGGCGATTGATCCGGGAAGGAATGAAATGCGAGCTCACCTGGTGATATCGCATGTAGGTGGATGCAAGGATTCTACCGTGAGATGCTTCCATCAATCTCGTAGGCAGGCTCTCCTCGAACGTGAAAGCTACTTGTTGCGGCAGACTTGATCTCCACTCCTGCAAAGTATCGAGACATGGCTTAAGAATCTCCAGTCGACGTTCGTCATCAACATCAACGTGTTGAGCCGCCGTTCTTACAACATTGCGCTTGATCTCGCAGAGCTGGGTTTGCATGGTCAGAAGCCCCGGATCAGAAAACTCCTCGATGTCTTCAGCGTCTAGTCCGGCCGATGACGGGAGTTGCATGCCTTCTGGCACACAAGCCACGGCGGCAGCGACGCCGAGCTCGGTTGATATCATTCTATCCATGCAGTAGGATGTCCACCAGAGCCTCTTCCTGTGCTCGTTCATAACGCGCACTTGGCGTTGCTGATCTAGGGCCTTGGGCAGAGGATGTGGCTTGTGAAGATGCAAGAGCTTGGCCAGCGCAACACTTTGGCTGGCGTACGAGTAAGCCGTTTTACGTCGGTTGAGTGAGTAGCAGTAAAACGCCTAGACATGTCGTCAGTGGTTTGGCATTAGTTAATAGGCATAAGTACTAACAATCAGGCAAAGTGCCTCCACATCTTCTGGCACAGGCTCTTCCGCAGACATCTTGAGAAGCATCAACCCTTGTTCGAAGAATTCGGACCCGGGAGGTGGCGGCAGTGTTTGCGACGTTGACTGAGAATGTGGAGGCAAAGTCAAGGGAACAGCAGCTCCTTTTTGCGGTGGACTGGTCGGATGCTTCCCCGCGATTTCCATGTGGACAGCTGAGGACATTCGAGATCGATTCCAGCTCTCAGCGAGGGCCAAGACGACTGAGACCCTGCACAACCAGTTGCGATCGTGAGATTGCGACTGCGGATCCGAGTAGGTCAAGAGGATCCTTTCCCGGAACCTCTTGCGGAGGAACCAGTGATATTCACTGAAGCCTTCATCAAAGGCCTGGAGTAGGTGGAATGCATACGGTCGGGGCGGGAGTCGAAATGAGACTTCAGATTCTGTGCATCGCATCAGCAAACGTCTTGTTGATTGTTGTGAGCAATCGACTTACGTAGAAAATCGAACTTCAGCCGAGAATATGTGTAGCTCTCGGCATTTGTGCCGGTAGACTCTCTAGTCTGTTTGCTGGTTGGATCACCAGATGCTGCTGTCCACGAAAGTTGTCGGAGCCTCTTCACGAAGAACTCTGCACTACAATCTTCCAGTTCCTCTTCCTTGATAATCTGACTAGACTTGGGCGAGAGCGGTGTCGCAAAGTCGTTTGGATCTGTACGGACCGACTCTGGCGATGAGATCGGATCTCCCGATCGTTGCGCCACTGCTGGCTGTCTCTCGAGTCTCCGCAAATAACTTTGAGGGACCGTGATGTATTTCTCTCTTACGGGGTAAACGCAGGGCCTCCCCCGGGTTTGACATCGCTCACATGGTGCTCCTTATGGGCATCTCAATTAGCACAAGAAAGAAGTTCGCAACTGATTATAGCAACGTACCGCCATTGCACTTGAGCTTTTGTGTATGACAGGCCTTGCAGGCTACTGCGCTTCGACCTCTTGGCGTTCTAGTCATCATCACAACTAAGTTCACGATGTCTCAACTGGTCTAAAAATTACAACGGCAAAGGGACATTTGTGCTCCATAAAGAACTGGATGCTACTCAAAAGACTCGTCGGATCGACATGCTCCTTTGCCTAATGTCGTTTGCCGGCGGTATCGGAGATGGGAAGGTCCAAGACGATGGGCAATACGGGGTAAAGAGGAGGGACCCACGTTGACCACGCGGACTGATATCGACGGTGCGGAGGTTCTTACTGATAACGAGAATCCTCCAACCCGTTTAAGTAGTTGGAAGTACTGCGGTATGTTTGCTGGGTCGTACAGGATGATAGCGGCGGGGCGGCATGCATCGGCCCCTGCTAGTTGTCATGTGTAATGGCGCAGAACTGGGATGTGTCAACTGGCGAATTGCTATTGGTGTTGGCTGCCAGGACCAGGCTCTATTAGATGTTGGCAAGTATTCAAAGCTGAACTACGAATCCTGGGTTGCGAATGGGAATAAGGAGGACTGCACTCCGTCCAGATACTTTAAGTCAAAGCACCCACTTATGGGCCCCCCCCCCTTTTAGGCCCCCCAACAAACATAGCATCAAAACATCGCCACCAACTACACTCAATTAATTAACTATCTTCTACTACTATAATAATATAGTTATTATTCTCCCTAAGTAATTTAACCCTTATGAGTCAATTAGGACTAACTAAACGGTTACTAAAGTCCTCCTAAGCCTTTTATATATCCTAAATACTTATAAACTTAGTATTTAAGTTTATTAATATACTCTTTTTTTTCTTAAGCCTTATATACTTAACCCTTATTTTTAAAAGTCGAATTTAGTACCGAAATATAGCTAAATAGTAGGCTTATTTACTAAATACCTTTTTTACCTTTTTAAATAATAATTATTAAGTAATATTATTTAGATTAAGCTTTATAAATAGCTTTAAGTAGTTACTAAGCTCGCTAGCCTTCTTAGGAGTTAACTAGTTAATAATAGAAGTTATTAATACTTAGTTAAGTAGTTTACTATTACGAAAGTAACTTTATTTACCTTATTATTCGCCTTTTTATCAATATTACGTAAGCAAGCTATATACTATAATAATCTACGATTTCTATAGATTATTATAAGTATTAATTATATAAGCAATACTACTTACATAAGCTTACGTAAGCAATAGAAAGTGCTAGAAAGTAACTAAATAAGCTAGAATTCTCTCAAAACAGAATTACGTACTACGATTACGTATTTACTTATATATACGCTTATTAATTATATTATAATTAATAAGTAATAGAATATTCTAGTAGGAGGTTTTTATACCTATATATAGGCGTATATTTACCTACTTAGACCTTTCGTTAAGCAAGTAACTTCTTATATAGTAATTTAACTATACTACCCTCTTTATTATAAAAACCTCTTTTATATACGCTTATTTCCCCTATATTTATATATTCTTGTTTCTATATAAATATTTACTTTTTATATTTTTTTATAAGAATATCCCGTATTACCTCGTTAAAGCTATACGTGCTAGATTTACTAATAGTACTAGTCGTTTACCTAGCTTTTATACCCCTTTTAAATAGTATAACTTATATAAATAGGACTATTAGGTTAAGAAGTAGCTTAGCTATATTAGGTAGCTATAGTTTAGTTACTTTTTATTTATTTCGTATATTTAATAATATTAAACTAGCTAAACGAGTAAGCTAGTAATAGCTTAAAAAGTACCGCTTTCTAATAATAATAAAATTATTTACTATATCCTCCTTACCGAGCTCCTTTTTATAATAGGATTTAATAAGACTAAAAATAGCTATATCTAATAGCTAGAGGATATAAGAGGTATATAATAATAAGAATAATAAGTAAACGTTATTTCTATAGCACTCCTATATAAATTCTATTATTATATAACTCCTATACCTATTTAGTATTAATAATTAAGGCTAGTTTAGCTTACTAAGCCTATTAATAGGGGGGGTCTTGGTCTATAATAAGAATACTTTTTTTAATTAGTATAGGGTAATCTCGTTAATTATCTAGCTATTATCTATTATTATAAATTTCTAACTATTATAAAAGTTAAGTTAAAGTAGAAACTACTACTATTATACCGACTTTTTTTTATAAATAATTAATAAGTTAATAGATTTATTATTAATAAAAATATATTTAATAATTGTTACCTAGGTACGCGAACTAGGCTCTTTTTTTCGTACTATTATAGCTTTTATTATATTTAAAACTAGCTTATTAGCTCCCTTACCCTTTATTATACTAATCTTATTTATATTATACTTATTAACTTATTTAATATTACTAATCTCTAGTATATTAAGTAATCTAAACTATAATTTAATTATATTAATAATAGCTCTATTAATATAGTATAAATTTATTAAATAACTTTTTTAGACCCTTATTAATAAATTCTTTTTAATAAAAGCGTTAATTTATTTTTTTTTAAGTAGTTTAGTATCCCCTTAAGATATTAAAACTCGCTTAATAAATTCTTTAATTTATTAATAAGTTAATATAATACTTAAGGTATATTAAATTCGAACTTATTAAACTAGCTAGTCTTTTTATTATAAAAGAAGCCTCTAAAAGTCTATAAATACCCTCGCCCTCGTTTAATAACCTTTTTTATAATTTTAAAGTATTACCCTAGGAATTCCGAACTTAACTAAGGCCCTCTTAATAAAGAGACCGTTTTTAATAATATAAAGAGCCCGTTAGAGCTTATTTTTAGTATATAAGACTATTACATATTAATTAATAATTATACTAAAAAGAAATATATTTAGACGATTTTTATAATTATTATAGTAGTTTATACATTAAGGGTAGGGTTTTAATCGGGGGGGCTGGGAAGGATTTTGGGGGGGCCCAAAAGGGGGGGGGGCCCATAAGTGGGTGCTTTGACTTATTTCCGAGAAGACACAAGCAAGTGACAAGGAGCTCTGCGTGGACAATCCATCCGCAATCAATCATGTACGCATGTCTAATTAAAAATTGGTATCAACCCAGATGTTAGTCTAGAGACGACTCCATGTCCAAGGGAGTTTGCCATCGCCAGCCGCATTTCGGCCTTTCCAACCTGATAAGTCTGAGATATCGCGGAGCGGCCACGGGTGAGGATCTTGAAAATCATCGGGAACCTTTCCAAATTTCCAAGCCCACAGATCCTGCCATTCCTTACCCAATTTCCCCTCGAGCATGTCGGCGACGTACTTGCCGATAATTGGGAGGAACTTGAATCCGTGATTTGATCCAATCGTCGCGACGAACAAGTTCTGAGTTTCGGGGTAAGGGCAGATTCTGAAGTTGAGATCACCGGCTAGACCGTCCCTGAATTTCGAGTTAGCATGGAGGATTCGGAAGAAATGGAAAAGCCAACAACATCTCTAGGATGATGTCTCACTACGTACCAGCACATTTTGGAAGAGATGAATGGCCTGTCAGCCAGCTCTGGGATCATCTCTCTAACAAATGTACGCATTTCATCTTCGACTTCCTTAGGGCATCCGTCGTCTGGATAATCGCCTAACGAGTGGAGGATGGAAGCTCCTGGAACATATCTGTTGCGATAATTTGTGAGACATCTGCAACTGCATAGCTTGATTAAGCCATTCTCATCTGGTGGAAAGATGATGCCTAGATACCTCGGTTAGTTTGAATTCGCCATGTCACTCTTCCAAGATCAACCGCCTACGTACCCTGCTCGAAGTCATCGATGATTGGCATATCCTTGTACTTTTCGATCTCGTGCGGCTCCAGTTTCATCACACAGATGACTGATGTTTGTGCCACCACTTCTTTCTTCGCATCAACTAGAGTCGCGGTATTGGCACCTGTGGACAACACAACTATGTCCGCCACGTGCAGTGTCCCGTCTGCGGCCAAGACACCCTCGCACTTCCCGTTGCCGTCTAACACGAGCTTCTTGGCATACCCGGATTCTCCACAGATGTATTTAACCCCCTGTGACTTGGCGGCGTTTGCCATTCTTAACAGAGCTTGTCCGGACGGCACCTATTTTTCCGATCGTGGTCAGTTTGCTATCACTTCCATTGCTACGTTATCGTCCTGTAAGTGATATTGTTTGGCACAATGGAAACTTACCCAGCCAGCCGCAGGACTCCACAAGTTGGTCCAGTCCGGAAACTCCCCCGTCAGAGCGGGCCACCTCGTTCTCATCTCCCCGGCCGACATGAACCGCACTCCCTCGCGCCCCGCCTTCTTGGCTGTCTCCATCGCACTATTGAGCCATCCCCGCGTCAGGCCGTGGCCCGCCATGACCCAGCCGCTCTCGCGATACATCCCTGCGAAGATGGATTTGGGGTCCTTCCACTCCTGCATGCTCTCCATGCCTAGCTTCGCGTATAACGGGTTGGGGTAGTCGGCGCGTACGACCTTGTTCAGATCAGTGGCCGCAGAGTCTTTGGAGGGTGCGTCGAAGCGATCAAGCACCGTGACGTTTCCATAGCCTCTTTGTGAGAGGTGGTAGGCTGTGGAGGTCCCAAAGACGCCTCCGCCTACGATGAGGATGGATGGCTTGGCCATATTGGAGATGAGGGTATTCTGAGAGTTTGCGGAACGGACGACGTCGAGTTTGTGATAATCTTGGTCTTTACTAGTTAGTCTACCCTCAATCTGCTGCCTCTCTAGCTTAGAATCATTCCTCGGACTCTTATAACCAAGGGAGAGAGTCAAGTTCGGCCGGTGATGCAAAGACCACCGACCAAGATGCCGAAGCCGTTTCCTACGGCCGCACGCATGCGGCGCAGCCTTGGGCAGAACATCCGTGCTTCCCCGGGAACCATATCGGTGGGACGGGGCCAACTAAAC